ATTTGAGTTTTTATAAACACCCAAACTGCCCAAACGACGAAATTTTTCCAGGGACATGACTGAAATCCTTTTATTAATGACGCGGTCAATGGCCAATATAAACTATATCTATCGCACCTTAACCCATTATATTTTCTATACGTAATATACCTTACCTCGTTGGCGTCATGAGCCGCGGCATTTGGAGTTGGTTAGGTTTGGTTAGGTTAGTTAATACATGCAAAACATAGCGGGACGAAGGACAAAATGAAATTTTGACTAGCAGTAGAGAAAATGGGTAAGATAAAACTTTTCAAGCGAAAATTGGACAAATTGAAAATTTTTGGGAATAGTTTTGAATATCTTAGGATGAAAAAAGTGATTTACAAAAAGTAAAATTTAAGTAGGTTTTTACTAATTTTCTTCTGATTTTTTTGGGGGGACATTGACCATTTGACCTTATGGTTAAGCCGCCACTGATCAAATCCACGTTATAGCACAGATTAGGTATCCTATAAGTATAGGATTGAGATGGCTAGATCAAACTTCCTAAAATTGCGGAACCTACTGTGCGATAAACGTCTCAACATCCATATAAAAGACAACTTCGTCAAGTGTTACGTACTTTCCACACTTCTCTACGGGGTTGAGTCGTGGACACTCAAAGTAAGCGCAATGAATAAGTTGGAAGCATTTGAGATGTGGGTATATCGCAGAATGCTGAGAATACCATGGACTGACCGTGTCTCGAATGAACGAGTTCTAAACCAAATGAACAAGGACCGAGAACTCCTCGACATAATAAAAAAGAGGAAAGCAGCCTATTTGGGCCATATCATGAGACATAGCAAGTATGAATTCCTTCAGCTCATCATCGAGGGTAAAATTGAGGGAAAGCGCGGACCCGGACGACGGCAATGCTCCTGGCTAAAGAACATCAGAGATTGGACAGGCCTGGACTCACATACTTTGCTGAGAAGAGCGAAAAATAGAGAGGAATTTGCCATGGTTGTTGCCGATCTTCACTGAATGGAGAAGGCACTTTAAGAAGAAGAATAAGTATACAGATAAAAATCTTGTCCCTAATTCGTGGTACGAAAATTGCTTTTTATGACGATGAGCAAACGAGTAAATTTGTTTTGCGCAAAAATAAACTCCCGTTTAAACAGTTTGGTTAGGTAATAACTGAGTCGGTCACAAGGCCGGTCAGGCGCTGTGCACAATTTTAAAGGCCATAAGTGGGCGTGCTTGTGCGCAAACTAGTAACCTAACTAGTACGCGACTCCAAAAATTGGAACCACGAAAAACAATGCTTTTGACGATAAGTTTATAATCTGCATGATCTGTGGTTATAGTATGATCTTTTAACTGCTGAGCAAATCGCCTCTAATTCTTTTTATTGCTCAATACTACATTGAGGTGTTTCTCAAAATTGTACATTCTCGGTGTACCATCTACTGGGAGTTTTTCCGTGGATATAGAACTACTACGTATATTTAGAATCAAACTAAATTTATTGGGCACAATTTACTTCTATATAAAAGTGTTCTCCGTTAGAGGGCATCAAACTTCAAACACTTAAACACATTTTTAGGTATTTTAAGAACTGATATTCCGATTTGAATTAGATTTGGTATGTCTATGTTTTACTAGGCGCTTTAAAATTTGATAAAAACTACCCTATAACATTCCATATTTGCGCCAACTATATTATTAGCGCATCTAGATTTTAGGCGCTTACATAGCTTGATGTGACAAGAAATATTTTCTGTAAGTCATTTTCGAAAAAACACTTTTTTCTCAAAAAGTATGCATTGTGGCAATTAGCGAATACTAGCGAAGGACCATTTTACAAAAAGAAATCAGGATTATTGGATCTGGATAAGATTTCTACTAGAATTTATGTAGGGGTGGGGGTAGTTCTCACTTTTTATACAACGGTTTTTAAAAAATACATATATGCATTTATTAGTTTAAACTTATTTTAATCCTAAAACTATGTAATATATCTTGCGGAATATTGGGAGACCCTGTAATATGTAAATAGGTTAATATATGCATCAAAATAAATTTTAATTATGAAATATTTATACATTTTAAAAAATTACAACGGAAACAGAACGACATCTAATCTACGATGTTTATTTAACTTTCTCAAAATAAACTAAGATATTTTTAGAGTCCACATTCTTTTTCATCAAAAGGCATATTAAACGACAAGCTCTTTCAAAGTCACACACGGATCTACATAATAACAAATCATCGAACCTACAACAGAAGACCAAACGTCACCTAACGTTTAAGGTTCTGGTCCCGCCTTATACATTTGTCAAAACACCAAATTATTAAATATGAATTTGTTTCTATTTTCAGACTCAGGCTTAGGCAATAAATCCCAATCTACTCGTTCGTGATGTAGCTGGTTTAAAAATAAAAAGTAACTGGCTGTATCCTAGCTCTTTTGTGTCTTAGAGCATAAAAAAACATAATACATCTTTTTGATGGGATTCTGTAACCAACGTAATGCATTAGTTGACATCAATTAAGATCTGAAAAAATGTTTTCTAATCTATTTTTAACAACATATTTGTAGAAATTCGTTAAATTCATAAATTACACATTAATGTAGAATAACCAATACTAACAACTTCTAACTAAAGTTCATCCAAACTTAAAGGTGCCCATCATCATTAACAAGTCCAATTTTAGGGTTAAAGATTTTACAATTCCCAGATGGATATTATGAGATAAATTTGTAATTTAAACGTTTAGTGTTACCCTCCTCCTACATTTCCAATGAAGTCTCATATCCCATAAACTTTGAATTTAGACCATCAACTACTCAGAACTACTTAATACTTAATTTTATTATATCTAGAAATGAACACATAATTTAAAATAATTATCTAAATATTCAATAATACTTCTTTGCGATACATGTCCCCCGAATTGTCTTTACAAGAAAGAAACACTTTTTTATTATTTCGGAAACACTTTTTTATTATTGACATTTTGAGAAAAATGCTTCCTTCATAAAACATTTTGCTTGTTCTAAAATGCATGGTTAATCTCCTTTATACTTTTCCAAATTTCCATACCGAAGAATACACTTTTAACAGGGTGCCTATCAAAAAGTTGCCGCAACTATGTTTTATTAATAATAATAATAACTGATTTTGAAGACGACATTATACGCTCATAAATTTTTTTCATCGTTTATATGTCAAATTAAAGCTACTTTTATTATGTGCATATTATAAGGGTGCCTATCAAAAAGTTGCCGCAAATAGAGATTGCCACGTTTCAAAGTTTTTCCTACGGGCACGGCAATAGTGCGTCGGGCATCTGTAGCTCCTATAATAAAAAACTTAGGAATTTTGTATTCCTAAGTTATCCTATTTTGAAGTTCCAACCTAAAGTATATGTTAGGATGTATTTCAGGAAAATATTTTAAGTTCGACTGGGTGGCTGAAAAAAAGTATGAGTGGGGATGAGATTTTTTTAAATTATTGATTTGACACAAAATTAATTTTTCATGTCTGTGTTGCAATTCTCATGATGTATTTGTGTATATAGCTTTATAACTTTAATTCTTTGCGCTCCTGAGAAAGACATAAACCATGTCGAAATATAGAGCTTTAGAATAAATTGAGTTTGATTTAAAACAGCCCGCTTTCCGAGAATACCGGGTGCGTCTTAAAAGTGGTTAACCTCTATAACTTTTTTATATTTTTAGATAAAAAAAAAGAGATTTGGTATGTTAGTATATGACATAAATTAGAAATTATTGGCGTATGCAATTGTTTTTGGTCTCTTCCTCTTTCACCAGAAATGACTAGAACTTTTGATTTTTAAATGATACCCTTGATATTTATTTACTTCATTTGATAGAAAATGACATTCTGAATAGAATGACATATCATATATGTCAACTTTTGACATTCTCGCTTAATAAAAAATCGTATTTAAAAATTCAATCTAGAGTGCCATGGCTATGTTAAAAACACTAATTCATAATCAAGGAGCCTTGGAAAAATAGATTTGACCGTCTATTGTTTTTCGTGTCTTGTCCTGGCCAGTTAGAAAATGCTCAAATCGTATTTTTAATCATATCTCAATTTTTTGAAATGGAACAAGGGTGGTTCATTAGCATATTTGGAAAAAGCATTTTTTTACGAATAATTTGATACCACAAACTTGGTATTTCGAGTCAAATTTTCGTTACGAACCGCAAGTTATAATTTTAAGTAAACCATATGCGAAAATGTCAAAAGTTGACAAATAATATGTCATTCTATTCAGAGTGTTATTTTGTATCGAATAAGGTAAACAAATACCGAGGGTGCCATTTAAAAATCAAAAGTTTTAGTAATTTCCGATGAAACAGGAAGTGACCGAAAACAATTGAATACGTCAATCAATCCTGATTTATTTTATATACTAAAATACCAAATCTCGTTTTTTTAATTAAAAACATAAAAAAGTTATAACGGTGAGTCACTTTTGAGACGCAGCCGGTATATCACTGTTACCCTTATAACATGATACACAGAATAAAACTTTAATTTGACATACAAATGATCAGAAAATGTTATAAGCGTTATATCGTCTTCAAAATCAGTTATTAGTATTATTAATTAAACATATGAAGTTAAACAAAATTCTATCCATAACCAAAGCCATAACAATCTATCAAACAATGAAATTGAAATTATACCGTATGATCGAGAAAAAACGGCGTCAAAGGCGGCTGGGGAATGACTATCGATGCTATTTTTGACGAGGTCGAACTCTGCTCAAAGTTAATTAACTTTATTTTGATTTTTTTAGTTAATTAAAATTCTTCTTCTTTTCACTTTAAAGATCTTCAAAAAAATTAAATTTTAATTAAAATGAATACTAAATGTAGAAAATCTAGAAGACAATAGTAAGTTTCCGGATACAGAAATCTATATCCAAAAAATATTTTTTTCTGATAATTTGAACTATACCAGTTTTAATTAATAAAAAATCTATATTAGGTAAATCCAGTAAATCGTAATTAATACTAAATGCGTCTTTAAAAGTAAAGAAGAGAAAAATCAAAAAGGCTCTAACCTAACAATCGCCCGTCCCAGTTCCAGGCATTTCGATAACTCGTTAACAAAAATCAGATTATTCTACTGTTAAAATGTATGGATTATCCTTTTGTAATTGTCTAATACACACTAGACCCTTCAGATTTAGTAAAACTGTAGCTGTAAACCAGTTATGTGTGTTCATTACTATACATGGAAGAAGTATTGTGTTTATCAACAAGGTTAATTGTAGGCCTTTAAATTTTGCTTAATATGGTCATATTTTGTAATATTCAACTCATAATTGTTGATACTTCTGGTGGATGATGTTCAATTTTATACATGTATAAAATATAAACACACTAAATTGAAGTACTAGAAACGGTAAGGTGGGATATTTTTACGAATCTGTATTATTACTTTTTTACTTATAGAATATCTACAGCTGTGTATAACCTCTAAGAAACAAATTAAATGAACAAAACTATGTCCAAGAAATAGTCTATTGTATAGAGGATTTAAGGAAAACCTTAAAATGTTTGTACAATTTGTTATTGAATTTCTTCTAGGTTTCTGCATCTTCGGTCAGTGAAAGTTAAAAGTTTAAAAATACAGGGATACTTAATCATTAATTAATCTTAATTATTCTTTTTTGAGATATAGGCACTATAGGCAGCAAAATATTAGCCTTATAATCCCGGAAGCTGTGGCCAATAATTTAAATGATAAATAATTGTAAATTGTTTATACATATATAAATCACTTGTTTTAAAATAAAAAATTGGCATTTTAAATTTTATATTGTATTTATTTATTAAATGATAAAATTAAAATATTTATATACTACATGATCTAACACTGTAAGTCTTAGTTTCTTTGGTTTGGTTTACTGTTTGCCGAGTACTATGGGTATAGTTCATTAAATTAATAGATTCTTTTCTTATGATTGACATATGCATATTAATTGTTTTCTTAAGTTATGTTACAATGAAACTCACTTTATAAACAGTATAATATAGGTATTTATTTTCTTTCGAATGGTATTACAAAATATGTTTTACTGTGAACCCTACTAATTAATATACTATGCCTGGTTCAAGAGTCTAAATCTGTACTTATTACATTATCATTTAATTTAATAACAAACCTAAAATATTTGTCTGCGACTTACTAAAAAAAACAATTATGATTTTCGAAAGTGATTAATACAGCTTTTTGTAAAATTATACATTACTTCTTGATGTATGTATTATATTAATTCATTTATTTACTTAAATTGTTCCAATGTGTATATTATTTCCTACAATCTACCAGTAGTTACGTTAAAAGTTAAGTATGTAAATAAATGACTTAGGAGCCTAAAATTATTGAGATTAAATAACGTAATATATAAGTAAATAAAATTGACAATACACCAATAAAATATTTTAGCAATAACCATTGATTCCTGCATGGAACTTTACTTGAACACAGCATCACCAATTTTGTTTTCATTAAATTCTCTATGCAATAGATTATTTCTTGGACACAGTTTTGTTCATTTAATTAATATGCTTCTTGGAAAACAGAAACTTAGGCATACACAGAAACAGATACTCTATAAGTAAAGAAGTAATAATAAAGGGATTCGTAAAAATAACTATCTCACCTTATTGCTTCTAGTACTTCAATTTGGTTTGTTTATATTTTATATATGTATAAATTGAACATCATCCACCAGAAGTATCAACAATTATGAGTTGAATATTGCAAAATATGACCATATTAGGCAAAATTTAAAAGCCTACAATTAATTTTGTCGATAAACACGATACTTCTTCATCAACTAACGGATTATTTACTGGTATTAAACACACATTTTTATTTACAGCTATAATCAATGCAATATTAGTAAATCTGAACGGTCTAGTGTGTATGAAACAATAATAAAAGGCTAATCCGTACATTTTAACAATACAATAATCAAAAATGTTGTCGAAATGTCTCGGTCGGAGGCTTGTCGGACGACGAGATTTAGTTAGGTTAGAGTCTTACTGGTCTTGCTCTTCTTTATTTTTAAAGGCGTTTACTGCATTAAGGATGATTTAATATCGATTTTTTATTGAGTAGAACTGGTGCAGATCGAAACATTTGAAAAAACAATTTTTTGGAAATAGATATGTGTATCTGGAAACTTTCTATTCTTTTCTGGTTTTTCTATAAGGTATTAATTTTTGACAAATTTTATGTCAGTTCTCAGTAACTGACGTCTAGAGTTCTATCTCGTCAAAAATAGCATCGATAGTCATTCCCCAGCCGCCTTTGACGCCGTTTTTTCTCGATCATACGGTATTACCATAGAAACTTTTGATTTTTAGGATTCAACCATATTTTCATATTTTTTTATTTTCTCTAAAACGGTATAAACATTTAGAAAAGTTTAAAAGAGATTAGATAACCATTTTAGCACAAGCAAACTTTTTATGAAGAATGCATTTTTCGGAAAATGTCAATAATTTTTAAACAAAGTTTTTCCTCTTGTAAAGGCACTCCGGGGATATACTGTACATATCAATCTCAAAAGAACCCTTAAAATATAACTGAAACATTTTCTTTATTCGACGCTAAAAAAAATTGTAAACTTTACTACAGAAGTTGGCTTTTAACTTTTCCACAAAAAAAAACTCTTAAAATAAGGCTAGCTACTTAACTAAACAAACCTCTGACTGCTTTTTGGACTGGTTTTCCAAAACCTCGGAAAATTCAAACCAGGCTATGAAGTGACACTTTTAATGAAAGGCCGTAAATAATTCTAGTTTCAATGCGAAGCGCGGTCCACTCTACCAACTCTCTGTAAAAAGAGGACTGCAGTCGAGTTTTTCTTTCGTACAAAAAACTTGAAAAAACCGCCACTATTTTACAATTCACGTCATAAAAATCCGCCAGTGAGTACGCCCAACCCTAATTGAAATTAAGTTCAACGACGGAAAGGACGTGAATTTTAGAATTCTGAAAACAACACTGTAATTTATTTACGCGAGTTGACCAGTGGTTATTTTTACGTAAATAAATAAAAATATTGAAACAACCAAACAACATGGATTTGTAGATAGTAACTTTATAAACTCATGTATGTAAACTTTATAACTCATCATACCGTTTCAGGGCTTTGGCAAAATTCAGTATCTTCTTCTTCTTCTAGTGCAGATCCATTAATGGATGTTTGCGATAACATTTTCCATTGCTTCTCTGTTCCGGGCGTTGTGTATTAACGACTGTACAGGGTGGGTCAAATTCGACGCTTTTAAATGGAAACACCCTTTTCTATAGGAGATAGACAAAAACTAATATCGGTGTCTGGAGCTCAATTTTTGTCAAAAACATGATGGTGAAAACCGCATATCGATATCTGTTACCGTTTAGGAGTTACGGGGTGTTTTTCAAAAATATGCATTTTTAACAAATCGCTGTAACTTTTTGCTATGGAAAATTTTGTATTTTTATGAAAACATTTCCAAAGTACCTTTTATGTAGAATTTAATGGTTTAAGAATAATTTTTTAAAATTAATAATTTGAGAATTATCAACAGAAAATTTGATTTTTTATATGGGACACCCTGTATATTTTTAATTTATTAAAAATAATTTAAAATTACCTTTCAAAAAAATATAACACACTTGATATTTTGCTCGATTCCTCTTCGAGATATAGAGTGTAAGATATTTACCCGCTTTAAATAAGTAGGCTTTGAACGGCACCCGCTATAATGCAGAAAATTCAAGAAATGAGCATCAATTAAAACGAAAATAATATTTGTTATGAGAGATGCAGAATTTTATAACAATTTAAAATATATTTAACCAACATCAACACATTTAGACTATATCTGATAACAATAAAAAATAAATAGCAAAACCATCTCATGAGATTTTGCTACATTTGTTCGATCAGATCGACCGTCTTCTGTTGTGGACAGTTGGGGCAATATTTTGAACATTTTCGCGTTATTAAATAACTGCATAGGTGTAGCAAATAGATACCCTCTCATAACTGCTAAGCATTTCTAATTTTGTCTAGATTATACGGAAGAATAAGGAACCTTAATTCTTCCGCAAATATAATATTTGCTATAGAGAGATGCAGAATTTTATAACAATTTAAAATATATTTAACCAACATCAACACATTTAGACTATATCTGATAACAATAAAAATAAATAGCAAACCAAAACATGAGATTTTGCTACAGGTGTTCGACATATCGACCGTCTTCTGTTATGGACAGACGGGGCAGTTTTTGAACATTTCTCGCGGAATTAATTAACTTAGTAGGTGTGAGAGATACCCTCTCATAACTGCTAAGCATTTCTAATTCTTGTCTAGATTATACGGAAGAATAAGGAACCTTAATTCTTCCGCAAATATATCCATAGGATTAGATCCATGGGCACTAAGTCAGGCGTCTGTCACAACGGCTGGGATCTTGGTTAGCTATTCAATTATTCTTGAAATTGGCTGAAAAAATTTGCTGATAACATGAGCGTTCAGAGGCGGTGCGTCGTCTTGCTGGAAAAATATATTTTCGAGTTCCATTAAGGGCATATCATCAATAAGGAGTCCAAAGCCTACTAGTTAAAAGTGGCAAACTTTTAAAAATTCTGTATTTCGAAGGGGATTATAACAAAATATCAAGTGTGCTATATTTTTGAAAAGGTAATTTTAAATTCTTTTCAGTTAATTAAAAATATATTGCGTGTCCCAAGTAAAAAATCAATTTTTCTGTCGATAACTCTTAAATCATTAATTTTAAAAAATTATACTTAAATCATTAAATTCTACGTAAAAAGGTGCTTTGGAAATGTTTTCAGAAAAATACAAAATTTTCCGTAGCAAAAAAGTTACAGCGATTTGTTAAAAATGCACATTTTTGAAAAACACCCCGTAACTCCGAAACGGTAACAGATATTGATGTGCGGTTTTCACCATCATGTTTTTGATGAAAATTGAGCTCCAGATACCGATATTAGTTTTCGTCTATCTCCTATAGAAAAGGGTGTTTCCATTTAAAAGCGTCGAATTTGACCCACCCTGTACATCGTGTATCCCTGTCCACTATCTAATATTCCTCAGCCAAGACATTTTCTTCCTTCCGATACCCTTCGGCCTTCGATCTTGCCATCGATCAACAGATACAAGAATAATTGATATTTGGGGTTTCGCATTATGTGCCCCAGGTATGCGATTTTTTTCGTTTTAAGCAATTTAAACAATTCACGCTCTTTGTCAACACGTCTTAGAACTTCTTCATGTCGACCTAGCCGTCCAAGGTATCTTCAGGATTCTGCTATATAGCCACATTTCAAAAGCCTCCAATTTGTTGATGGTAGCTGCTTTCAATGTCCAACCTTCCATACCATAAAGGAGTACTGACCACACATAACACTTTACGAATCTTAATCTAAGGTTGCCAGGTCAAAATCAGAACAGAAAAGTACTTTTCGAAACGTCAAGAATGCCTGCCGAGCTTGATGTCTGATGACCAATCTTCAGAGAGCCAGATGACCAAGTACTTAAATTTATCTACTCTTTCTATGGGCCTTGTATTAAATGTTAGGATGTAGTTTTTACACACATCTGGATTTCTCGATATTGTCATAAATTTGGTTTTCTTGATGTTGATGTTTAAACCCATTGATTTGCTCTGTTCTCCTACCTAGTTGACCAGTTGTTGTAGGTCGTGTATATTATCTGCAATTAAGGCCATATCGTCGGCGTAGCGGATATTATTAATCCACACTCCATTAACTTTGACTC